GGTCCAAGCATGAAAGCAGCTGGAGGCTCCCAAAGGAGTTTGGTGTTTTCTGGAAAAGTTGAGACAGAAAATGTGATGTTCCAAAAAGCGGGTAGGTCCACTGGGAACCTGTCCTCATGCCTGAATCGTGCTGGCAAAGTGGCGTTTTTGCCATCCCATCTGGAAAGAAAGTCGGCGTCGTCATTCTTCTCGCCAGCGATGTGGCTGCAATCCAGTGTGATGCCCGAAAGAGAGCTCCACATGCAAAGCTTGCGCACGAAAAGGCTCAAAGGGGTTTTAGAGGTGTACAGCTTGTTGCACACCGCTTCGGCCCCACTGTTGTCACTGAGGGCTGGAAGTTTTAAAGCCAAGCGGCCGGCGCCTGAGAACTTCCAGAAAGCAAGCAAAACAAAGCACTGTGCCAAGGTCTCGTAGCTGGAGATATCAAGGTTGGCATCATTTTGCACAGGTATGCCCGAAGCTGTGAACTGCTGCACATCAAAAAGCTGAGAAAACCATACCATGCGACCACTGGGGAACTTGAGCCAGCCTCCTACCCCGCATTGGTTACCCTTGCCAAAGGCGTCTGCCGCAGTTTCCATAGCTACCAAGGCAGGTGGCCGAAGTGGGCGAGGACGCCACTCGACAGAGCTCAGGTGCTGAAAGAAGCGGAGAACAGCCACGCTGTCCTGACAAAGCTTCCTCCGCGAAGAAGTGGGATCAGCGATCCGCATCCATATCCTCTTGGTGCTTACAGGAACCTTGCAGAGATCGGCCTTGGTAAGCAAATCGACATGACGCGCAGACAAAAGCTTGGCTCCTTTGCTCACCACCGTACTTGGAGGCGGCGATGTAAAGCGGAGCTCCTCATCCAGGTGGCTGCCAATGCCGGCCCACAGAGTGAGGGCCTCAAAGTGGGCATGCCGTGCAAAATCCATTGAAGCAAGCCCAGGAGCTTGTCAAGTTGCTTGCGGGAGACCTGGCGATGTCGAAGGCAATCTGACACAAGCTCGTAAAGCTTATTGCGCTTGGCTTCTGGAAGTGAGAAGCAAGCTGAAGAAAGGTTGATCTCCCAACCAATCCACGTTATTGTCTGACCCAGTTGAAGCTTTTTCCAAGAAAGCGGAATCCTGAAGCATGCACAAAAGGCCAGTGTCAACGACGCTGAAAGCGGTAAGACTGTACTGTTCTGGAAAAGCAGCAGGACATCGACATAAAGCAGAAGAACGTGTGACAGCCATATCAGTAAGTGTAGACATCTAGTGAAGAACCCGCCAATGCGGGCAAACCAGTGGCTCGAAAAAGTGGCCCCGAAGGGACAAACTTTGTAGAAAAGCAGGCGCTCTTGCTGCCTCATGCCCAGAAGGCCAACGTCTTTTTCACGCACTCTGCTCGTCTTGTGAGCTCCCTTCACGTCCAAGCTAATTGACCTCAGCGTTGTCCTCCCAAAGTGGGAAAGCGGACTGAATGTCCTGCAAGCTGGGGAGGCTGAACTGTTCTGGCACGTGACAACACTGGTTTGTGTTACAAATGCTGTTGTCAACCACCAAGCGGGGGCTTCGGCCGGATGCTTTGACGATGTTGACTTTGCTGACCGCCACGCGATCTTTGCTCCAACGCTGAAAAGCGGTTTCAAGGTCTGGAACAACTTCCGGTACCCCGCTTCTATTTCCTCCTCGACAAGCTGCTGTGGTAAAGCGGGGTCTTCCTCTGCGCCTTTCCAATTTCCTTCGCATATCAGAAGCTGGCCTTCGTCAGTGTCTGCTTCACGACGAGGCCGAAGCGCGTGGCTTCGGGGTATTTCCCCATCGAACCCTGTTGGCACAGGAGCTGGAAGAGGGTATCTTCATCTGCTACCAAGTGGCTGAGCCGCGACAAAGCTGACAGTGTCCCTCGGGAACAGAAAAATCCCAGTCCTGAGAAAGTGAGTGGCTGTCGGAGAAGCGTTTGAAAGATTGCTGAAGCCAGGCAGTCTCGCTCTCAGAGAAAAGCGGTGAGTCGCGGTGCTCTGAGACATGCTGAGCGAGTCTTGCGGGAATGTGCTTCTCCAGAAGCCACTGCTACCACTCTTTACGCAGTTCACAAAGCAAATCTGATTGGTACCTGGCCGTAGGACCAGTCTGGAGTGGAGTAGATGCCACCCCCATCCTGCGCACCAAAGGGGGGTGCGTTGCGTCCCTTACGGGGTATGCATTGTAGAGCGAAGCTGAGTGAGCAAAGATCAAGCTTATCGTGTGTGACATAGCCACCAAAAAGACGGTGGACAAGCTTGCTGTAGTGCACCGCCAAAGCTGCAGGGTACACTGCGGTACGCTGGGACAAGAAGTTCCCTTGTGCATCCCTTGTGCCAATGACTGAGGTGTGCTTGTCCTGATGGGAGCATGTAGCAGCCATCGCCTTAAGCGGGGCAAAAATGGAGGCAAACAACCATTGCTTTGCCACATCCAACCCACTGAACAAGCGGCTACGACTGAAAGCGTGGCTTGTGTCTCTGAAAGGAAGTCCTGAACGAAGGGTTCAATCGGTGGCTGAGCTAGAGCTTCCTGTGTTTCCCCTGCAAGCGGAAAGCCCAGAGAACGTTTCTAGGAAGCTGCTCGGGTGTGAAGCTTGCCAGGCTCCGACACGTGTAAGTAAGAACCCATCTGTCACCTGAAAAAGGGCATGTGCAGTGAATGTTTTCGCAAGGGAAGGCCGTAGCGCTTTCAAAGGTGTCAATGAGCTCGCCACGTTGCACCTCAGAACTGGAAAAATTGTTTGAGCTTGAGTCCAGTGGGGCTGGCACAAGTGGAGAGTTCGCGTTCAAAGGCGGCGTCATCCATACTTCTCCACCACAAAAGTTGCCCAACGAGACTGAAAAGTTGGCGCTACCGGTTGGTTACCTGCATCGGTATGTGAAAGCGTGCGAACATTGTGGCTCA